CCAGTCTATAAGGAAGATTTTTGCTACCCTTGCCGCTCTGTGTGACTCACTGTCTCCCGTTCTTCCTGTACATCTCTAGACCAGGTTTGCCTTGCTACTCATCATCCCCCTAAACAAGCTATCAGTTATCTGGGATCTTGATCCAGGTGTTTGCTCTGGTGGTAGGGACCCAGCCACTTCAATCATCACTTGTTGCCTTCCAGGGTGTGCATCAGCAGGAATCTAGGATTGGGAGCAGAGCCAGGGCAAGCACTCCATACGGAACTGTGGGTTTCCAAGTGTGAACTGCTGGGCCAAACTCCTGCCCCTATCTCCCTTCTATGAATAAAACCCCTTGTTCACAAAATCAAAACCCTTCTTGGTATCTATCTACTTTAGATAGTTCTTTCTCCTATTATAACAGCACCCATCACAACTTTCTTTCTTACTGATGTACATTAAGTAACTCATTGTTGAATGAATTCATAAATGTCAAAATAATATATCTGGATTTTTAAAATCCCCAGCATCCCTGCTTTGGTTTTACTGATTTCATCCTTAGCCTGAATTGATAATTTCTTCCATTGATCTCCCCATATATCTTGGAGTCATAGAGATAGACTTTGAGAACTTGCAGAATTATCCAGCTCAGTACTCATTTTGGTGCATGGTTCCCCATCTTCAGACTCCTCATTCTGTCCGTCCTGTGCTACAGACAAGTAGCTTTTCAGCTCAGAGATGGACTACTGAGAATGGCAGTAAGTGGGCTTAAGACACGACGTTGGGGGAACGCCCACTGTGATCAAACAATTATGTTTCAATATTCCAGATCTCCTCACCCTCCTTCAAACCTAGGTATGGCCATGTGACTTTGCTTGGCCAAAGAGAAGCAATCCAAGGGATGTGTCACTTGTGGCAGAAGTTTTAAAAACGAGTACATGATCCAGTATGTTCCCCTCCCCCTTCCTTCGCCCTCTGCTATGGTCATTGGGAAACATAGCTTGTGACTATCACCTTGTGATCCGGAATGATGGAAATAATCTAAACATAATTCCCCTGTCCCCTGACGTGCACTGAATGGGTAGTGCGAGTGAGAGTTAAATGTAGCCATGTTAAGCACAGAGCCTGGGGGTTGTTACGGCGTATCCTGACTGATGCAGTCTCTGACAGTTGAATCGGCCAGGGCAAATACATTTCAACTCATCCCAAAGTCATTCAATAGAATCATATTTTCCAATCTTCAGAGGCATATACAAAAGATGCTGGACAGGGTACTTTCCCACATTTTGCTGACTGACCTGAGAGTCTTGTTGACAAGAGGTAAATTGGCTTTTTTTTTTTGACTGTCCTATTTTTTTTTTTTTTTTTACTTTTTAATGTGATTTTTCCTTACGAAGCAGCAATTGTATAGAGGTGGTGAATGTGGGAGCTGAGCACAGCAAGACTTTGGTGGGTAAACAGACAGATGACCCACAAGCTGGCCCTTCATGCCAAAGCTTGCTCGTCTTTTGCCTGGAGTTCACATCCCCTCAAATGGACAGTCTGCTCCGTCTCCTGTTAGCTTTTCCTTCCTTCTCAGTATGTCAGTGCTGTGTTTGGAGGCATTTTGTTTGATAGAGTAAGTATCATACAGTCAAGATGCACTTTTCCCTGCAAACAGGGCCACTCTTCAATATTTTTTAGTAATTGTTCGTATTGGAAGTCTTTTGATGTGCAGTACTCATTGAAGCTTCCATTTGAAGGGCAGCAGGGACAGTGCTGGGATTGGTAGAAAGAATGCTGGTGAGATAAGCTCTGCCTGTCTATGCATTACCCCTTCTCTGTACCGAAGGACCCTAGGAAAGGTGGCGATTATTCTATTTGGCAATCCAATTGTCTGCCTTTGGAAAAATGATAGGAAGATGATCCAGTCACAAATAATACTTTCCCCACTGCTCAGGTATAAATGAGCTATTTATGATCCCTGCTGTCTTTTAGGTTTGGGTTTTTTTTTTTTCTCTCTGTACCACAGATTAAACCTTAGTAGAGGCTTATCGTGGAAGATGGGGAGATTTTAAAAACAACAAATGCTTGCAGGCATCTGCAGGTACCCCTGCTACTAGATTTCTTCTAAGGAGCTTCCTGGAGAGTCTGGAAGCTTACGCAAACGGAGTTGCTGTGCCACAGAGTTGTACATCTTCCTTAACCTTTTTGAATTATTTTTTTTTAAATGCTGTTTACACATGACACGATTCATCCACATATGTGCTGGATGTTAGTTATGTGTTAGGAACTATGCAGGACTTCAGGAAATACTGATGAGTGATGTGGTTGGTTTAGCTCCTTCAATTTGTTAACTGTTCAAGGTCTGTAGACAGGTAACTAAGATACTTTTACTAAGGGTTTGAGCAGAGCAGTGGTAGTTGTATGCTCAGCAAGGACCCAATCTAGGCTGATCCATGGTCAAAACAGATTCCTGGAGGGAAAGGTTTTTCAGTTAAGTGTTTTTTTTTTTTAAGATGTATTTATTTTTATTGGCAAGTCAGATATGCAGAGAGGAGGAGAGACAGAAAGATCTTCTGTCCGTCGATTCACTCCCCAAGCGGCTGCAACAGCTGGAGCTGCACCTATCTGAAGCCAGGAGCCGGGAGCCTCATCCTGGTCTCCCATGTGTGTGCAGGGTCCCAAGGCTTTGGGCTGTCCTTGACTGCTTTTCCTGGCCACAAAGGAGCTGGATGGGAAGCAGGGCTGCTGGGATTAGAACCGGTGTCTATATGGGATCCTGGTGCGTGCAAGACAAGGACTTTAGCCACTAGGCTACTGTGCTGGGCCCCTCAGTTAAGTTTAGAAAAGAGAAATTAGAAGCTATTTGAACAAGAGAAGGGAGGGATTGTACAAAGATTGGGAGGTCAAAGAGGTGTCTTGGTTTGGAAAGTGCAAATCTTCTGCATGAGGGGAGGAAGCATTGAGGGCAGGGGCGATAAAGGCTGTAGAAGGAGTGTAAGGAACAGCAATGCTAGGGTAGACATCCAGCTGAAGATGTGCAATCAACACACTTGCACATAAGCCATGCGAGTGTCATGCACGAATGTACACACAGGCAGATACATCCATTCACACATCCATGAACACACACATATACATAAACATGATGTACCTGAAATTCTAGTATACACATGTGTGTGTGTATTCATACGATGATGTTTAAAGCCATGACTCTGGATAATTCATGTATTGAATGAGTACAAAAAAGAGAGAGGTCTAGGGCCCAGCACAGTAGCCTAGTGATTAAAGTTCTCACCTTGCATGTGCCAGGATCCCATATGGGCAGCAATTCTAATCCCGGCAGCCCTGCTTTCCATCCAGTTCCCTGCTGTGGCCTGGGAAAGCACTCGAGGACGGCCCAAAGCCTTGGGACCCTGCACCCATGTGAGAGACTTGGAGCAAGTTCCTGGCTCCGGGCTAGGGCTCGGCTCAGCTCCTGCCATTGAGGTAACTTGGGAGTGAATCATCGGACGGAAGATCTTTCTCTGTCTCTCCTCCTCTGCATATCTGACTTTCCAATAAATAAATAAATCTTAAAAAAAAAAAAGAAAAAGAGAGGTCTAAAAGAGAAGATGTTAAGAGGAAGTTAAGAGGAAGGAAGGTTAAGAGGAAGGAATAGGGGACAGATCCGTGGCATAACATGCTAAGCCTTTGCCTATGGTGCTGACATCCATATGGGAGCCTATTTGAATCTTGGCTGCTTTGCTTCTTATCCAGCTGCTGGCTAATGGCCTGAGAAAATAGCAGAAGATGGCCCAAATGCTTGGGCCTCTGCACCTTTGTGGTAGACCTGGAAGAAGACCCTGACATGGGACCTTAGACTGGTCAGTTCTGGCTATTGTAGTCATTTGAGGAGTGAACCAGTGGATAGAAGATCTTTTGCTGCTTCTCCTAGTACTCTACTTTTCAAATAAAATTACATGTATCTTCAACAACAACAACAACAAAAGCAAAAACAAAAGCAAAACTAAAATGAGGTAGGAAGAGACAGACTCTTGTTACCAGGAAGTGACATTGGCTATTCTGACTTACCTTTCCACTGAAAATTGTGTGAAATTTTAAACAAAATGGTACGAGCATTGAAGACATAAAGAAACAGTCCAAAACTTGAGAGTAAGCATGAAGTTACGAAGGTAATGACTGAAATGTTGAAATCTGGAGGGTATCTAATGAAGTTGCACAGTTTGAGCTTTAGTTAAGTGTCCCCAAAAGCAGAGGGGGCAGAGGGGAAAGCAGGGCATACGTAGGGTGACAAATCCCGAAGAAGCCATTCCAAACCCCAGCCTGAGATTCCTAAGGGTCATATCTAACATGAAGACCCAACAGTTGCCAGATTCCGCTGGCAGCAGGGGGCTATGGAAAATCTGCGTTCCTACTAAAAAAAAAAGCAGAAATAAAGAAAAATATATTCCAGTTGTGACAAGTTGTGATGACAAATCGACCTCTGGGTAGACGTACGTCCACTGAGGTTCTTGTTGTTAATGGATACCATGGGGTCCTCAAGGAGAAGGAAAGAAACCTCAGACTGGAGAAGTCCAACAGTGGAAAACAGGTAGACAAATGCCAACAAACATTAGCGGTATCAAGCAGTAAGATCAGTGGCTTAAAGGTGCTTATTGGAAACATCGATCCTGAAGTTTTTATGTCATCGGGAAGCAATGTAAAAAATTCAGACTGACTTTGTATTTTGCTAATTTATGTGTGCAGAACATAATTTCTAGAATAATCGGCAAATGATGAAGAGAACATACTCTCTAAACTCATACAGAATGTAATAGAATGAAATAAAAATATTGTCAATTCAAGTGCACGCAGAAAAAGAATAGGAGATCTTCTGAAAAAAGAAAACAATGTTTGTTCCTACTGAGGAAGGCCACAGGACCTGCACATTCACTCATTGTCTGTGAATGACACTTTCATGGTTTAAAACAATCATCTCTCAGCATCCTCCTGATGTGAGTATTATTAGTATTGATTTTATTTATTTATTTTTACAGATGAGACATCAAGGCTTGGAGAAACTGAGAACTTGGTGCATGAGATAGTAAGAGAGAGCAGAGCCTGCAATTTAAAACTTGCCCAGTTTCCAGTATCCCAGCAATAGCTTTATGCTTATGGATGCTGTAGGCTCCTGAATGGTTATGTTCAGACTGCAGCACACGTAAGCACTGTGGATATTAGGAATCTTGAAGATGGTGAGTAAATAATTCAAGTCTAAAATAGAATTTCTGAACAGGCGTGGGAATAATGCATGATTTCCCAAGATGGCAACTTGGAAGGAAATGGCACTCATTTTTTTTTTCCTAACATTTTATCCACAGAAATTCAAAAAAGCTTTTCATAACTTCAGGCCCCATATCTCTATTTATATCACTCTAAGTATATAACATATCACATGCTTTGAAAGGTCGGCTCTCCTTCTCTCTTTTTTAGATTTATTTACTTGAATTGGAAAATCAGATTTGCAGAGAGGGAAAGACACAGAGAAAGATCTTACATCTGCTGGCTCACTCCCCAAGTGGTTGCAATGGCTGGCTGGCTGGAACTGAGCTGATCTGATCTGAAGCCAGGAGACAGGAGTTTTTTCAGGGTCTCCCACATGTGTGCAGGGTGCCAAGGCTTTGGACCATCCTCTACTGATTTCCCATGCCAGAAACAGGGGGCTGGATGGGAAGTGGAACAACTGGGATATGAACTTGTGCCTATATGGGGTCCTGGTCCACACAAGGTGAGGACTTTAGCTACTAGGCTACCGTGTCATGCACAAAAGGACAGTTCTTAAGACCTCCTTTTCTGTTTAGCAATTAATTCAGTGACTTATATATATGTACAACATATATGCACATAAATATGCACGCAAATGTATGCACAATATAAAGTATATATCAAATACTTTGGGTATTTTTGGTTTTCTAGTGTTTTCCTTTCTGTTTCCACTAAAGAAATCCTCCCAGTCCACTTTATTGGAGTCAGAAAATCCTTCTTGCTCTCCCAAATCATCCAATTTCAAGCTTTCAGAAGTTGGCAGGCACGAGAGAGATCTTTATGACACCGGTGAATCACATAAGGACAAATTTCTTTGCTTTTATTTTTAAAGACATTCAAGAGGAAAAAGGGAAGTGAGTGTTTATTTATGACAGCGCTAGCCCTAAATGCGGTTTCTGACTCCAGGGGCCTGCCTTTGTTGACTGAACCTTCATGTTTCACTGCTCCGTCAAGGGGAAGTTGGACTCCTGGAGCTAACTGCCCATCAGAGCAGCTCCTGGAGCCCACGCCCGAATCAGGCATGTCCAAAAGATATCTCTATCTAGGCCCTGCCTAGCAGGGCTGTGTTTTCTACCACAGGAGAGCACCATGCCGGTACAGCAGGTACCATGGACAGCGAGACCTCACCCATCCTAGGCCCTGCAGCAGTTAGGTCTGGAGGCTGAGCTTTGAGTTTGGGGATCACTCTAGATGGGTTCACAGGACATTTGGGTCCATGAACGACATGGAAAAATGCTTGGCAAAGCCTAATACAGGATCGGTACTGGGTTTGTTCCCCAACTTTCTGGATCCCCAGTTCCTTGGCCTTACAGCAACATTATATTCATTGCCTTTTTAAAACAAAATCTCTACTGAGGCAAAATATCCTTTATTCAAGAGTATTTTTTTTTTTGACAAATAGATGTGCTACTGGAACCACCACTAGTTTCTACATATGGGAAATTGCCATCACTCCTAAAAGTTCCACTTTGTTTCCATAACACCCTGTTCCCAGCTCCAGTCCCAACCACTGATTTGCTATTTTGAGAAACTTGCTGTTTTTGAGAAATTTGTGGAAGTGGAACTATCCGGTAAGCACTATTTTCTGCTTTGTTTCTTTCAATCAGGACAATGATTTTGCATTTAAATCTGACATTTTTGTCTATTAATCTTTTCTCATTCTTTTCCCCCCTTTCCCAGTTGCCTTTGAGTTATGTTTTTATTTATTTATTTATTTTTGTTTAAAAGTAAGGCTTATACACAGAGAAAAGAGAGATCTTTCATCTGCTAATTCACTCCCCAAATGGCTGCCACAGTCAGAGCTGAGTGGGGCCAAATCCAGGGGCCTGGCTGGAGCTTCTGTTGGGTCTCCCATGGGGGTGCAGAGGCCCAAGGAGCTGGCTATCTTCTGCTGTTTCCCCAGGCACACTAGCAGGAATCTGGATCAGAAGTACAACAGCTGGACCCTGACCAGTGCCCAAATGGAATGGTGATGTTAAGGTGCCAAGCACACGTTACATATATATGTTCTTTAGTAGAATTCTATGTGATTTTATCTACTGACAAAACAATCACTTTGAATTATTTTCAGGGGTAGCCCCAATTCGACAATACGAGTGGATCACGTATCAGTTCGTTGCCTCTTAGTTGTAGGTCCAGATGCCCTGCCCTCATCAACTCTTTCCCTGTTAAGCTGGGCTTAGTGACACTGGAGCTGGAACCTGTAAATATTTCGGCTTTGCTAACTGATACATTAGGCTTTGCCAAAAGAGGGCACCAGAGGGCTGCATGTCTAAAGTCAGGCGAGGTTTTTTTTTTTTCCTGGTTAAAGGTTCTGTTTCTGCGTAGCAGTAGCATGGGGAAACGGCAGAGGTCCTCACTCCACAGAGGGCACCTCTTTTCCAGGGGATGGGGATGGCTTTCTGCTGATTGCCCCAGGCCCATTGTCCGGCAGGCCGCTCCTGTGGAGCAGCGGCAGCCTGCTTGAACCTGCTGGTGATTTTCTGAGTCATCCCGTGACGTACAGCTCCGTGCCACGGAAAGCAGGCACATCCCTTGACTTTAGGGAGGCTCCCGATGGTTCCTCTGCTGGCCGCTGCCTCTCAACGCACTCTTAACCCCAGTTTTTTGTGTCCTTGCTCAATCCTGGAGGTAGTAGCGCCTCTCTATTTTGCTCTTCCCCAAAAATCTACTTTTACCCCTTTATCTAGTTAACCATTTCTTACTAACGAGAACAACTTTTGAAGCTGTTTTCTCTGCTTAGATCGATCGTGCTGTTTCTTCTTTCCAACCAGAGCTTGGCTACTACAATGTTGTACTTAGCGACCTAGTGTTGTGGCGGTTGCCACCGAGTACGTGAACCAAAGACGTCCGTGTGTCCACATGCCATCCCTGTACTGTGGTTGTGATGTGTGTAGTCTTTGCCTACGTTATAAGCCCAAAGGGGTGGCAATGTTTAATTATGTAATGCACACAGTGAGGAAAAAAAGAGGCTATTTCCTTTTTTTCCCTCCCTCATATTTGCCTAGATATTGACTATTTACATTCAATTTTTTCTTTCATTGAGATTTCAATTTCCCCTGGTATCATTTTTCTTAAGCCAAGCGGCTAAAGTCCTTGCCTTGCATGAGCTGGAATCCTATGTACCAACATGTTCTGGCTGCTCCACTTCCCATCCAGCTGCCTGCCTGTGGCCTGGGAAAGCAGTCTAGGATGGCCCAAAGCCTTGGGACCCTGCAGCCACATGGGAGACCTGGAAGAGGCTCCTGGCTCCTGGCTAAGGATCAGCTTAGCTCTGGCCATTGTGGCCACTTGGGGAGTGAACCGGCAAATGGAAGATCTTTTTCTCTTTCTGTGTATCTGCCTTTCCAATAAAAATAAACAAATCTTAAAAAAAAAAAAACTTGTTTGAGAGGAAGAGAGAAAGAGTGGCACAGCAGCGGAAGCAGAAAGCTCCCATCTACTTATTGACTCTGCATGTTCTTAGTGTCTGGTGCTGTGCTGGGGCTGAGGCTCCATCCCTGGCTTCCACGCAGGTGGCAGGAGCCCAGGCATCCTAGCCGTCACCGCTGCTTCTCAGGACCCGCATTAGGAGAAGGTGCCATCAGGAACTCACGTCTCTGTCCTCTTCTGTTCGCTTTCCCCCAGCTCACGGGAATTGTGGTCTAGTTTGGGACAATGGTTTTTTTTTTTTTTTCAAATTTCTTCAACATGCATTACTATTTCTCTCCTCCACTGTAATGTCCAATATCTCCTAAAAATTTAGGCTTATGGGACATGAGCCAGAAAGACACATGAGCTACTTTGACTTGAACCCTGCCAAATGCTTCCCCTGGGGCTATGAGCTCAAGGCAGGCCATGGGCTTGCATAAAGCAAACTGAGCGGGGGGCCAGGGAAAGAACAAATGTATCAGAGAGAAATCCCCTAGCTTGAGATTTTCAGATACTAGTTCAGGCAAGGAAGTATCTTATCATCTGGTTCCGTGATATACGTCTTAAGGTCTGGCTTGTGGTGCTTTTTTCTACAAATGCTTGTTAAATGAACGGGCTAGTTCCCAGTGTAATATTGGGCTAGTTTGAAGGGTTCTAATCTCTGTTGTCTGAGCTATGAGATGATGATGGTGATGTCACAGTATTGTTGTATTCGATGAGATTACATACACATTGTGAAAGGTTTTCTAATTGTGATGTTCTATTATTGTTATTAAAAATGTTCACTGAGCTGAGAGAGTACTTGGCACCTTCATCTAATCTCTGGGTGATTCTAGACAGAGCTAGTCAACTGGGAAAAAAAAGGCTTTTATCTTTATCTGGGAGAAATTGTGCAATTTCAGTGCATTTTAAAAAAATTTTGTTCTCTAAATTATTTATCCTCCTGATGACAATTTTATATCCATCTGCTTCATGATTCCTGGATGATGAGAATCACTTTTTTTAAAGATTTATTTTATTTTTATTGGCAAGTCAGATATATAGAGAGTAGGACAGACAGCCACAATGGCTGGAGCTGCGCCGATTTGAAGCCAGGATCCCAGAATCCTTTCCGAGTCTCCCATGCAGGTACAGGGTCCCAAGGCTCTGGGCCGTCCTCGACTGCTTTCTCAGGCCACAAGCAGGGAGCTGGATGGGAAGTGGGACCAACGGGATTAGAACCAGCACACATATGGATTCTGGTGTGTGCAAGACAAGGACTTTAGCTGCTGGTCTACTGCGCTGCGTCCACATTTGCCGGAGTTTAATACGAATGTATGATTTGAAGTGTTCTCTCTGTGTGAAAAGGGTCCCAGTCATTTTCTAAAAATACAGCAGTAGGAAGGGTTATTGGTGCTGTGCTCAATGACCTGGTGACTTCTAAGGGCTCATAAGACGTGGCTAAGGGTGCATCTGTCTCTTTTCCAAAATCCCACGGTGCTTGCTGGACAGCAGCAGAGCTGAAAGCCCACTTGGACTAAGGCCTGCATTTCCACCATGGAAGCAAAGTATGGGTGGGATTTGAGGGATGGGCTGATGGGCATTTGAACTCTGCGTCTCTGGGAATTCTATGGAAGTCCATGATCAGAAAAGGGACCTGAGGGCAAACCCACACTCCATGTCAGAGTGTCTGGGCTCAGATTCTCGCCTGCACTTCTCATGCAGACTCCTGCTAATGGACATCTTGGGGACAGCAGGTGGCGGCTCAAGTACTTGGGTTCCTTCCGCCTCAGGATGTAGTTCTTAGCTGTAGTTGTTGCAGTATTTGGGGAGTGAATGAGTCGATGGAAGGTCTCATTCTCTGTTTCTCCTTTTCTCTTGCTGCCATTGTACCTTGCAAATAAATAATCTCTAAATGGTGAATCAATGCTAAAAGCAACTCAGGAGTTGTTGAACAATGATATCGCAAGTACTGCTGCTGCTATTATTAGTGAGAACGTTTCTTGATGGTACCCGTGCATCAGACACCCTATCGAGTACTTCATTAGCATGGAATTGTAGAATTATATTCCCATTTCTCATATGAGACTAGTGCAGAGAAATTGTCATGTAGATGTCCCAGGTTAATATGCAGAAGGGTCAGTGTAGAACTCAGTCAGATCCCTGTTCTTAAACATTTAATATCCTAACCCTTGGAACAGAGCTTTTAGACATCAGAGAGAAGGACTGTGGGAATCCAACAGCGTGTTGCCAACAGACAGTTCAGGAGAGGGAGAAAGAGAATTCCATGAATAGTTCAGTCGGTTCAGCCCATCACTCCCGTCAGAGTTAGAATCAGATGGGAAACCAGAAAGGCCCAGTTTGTGATTGCTCTGCAAGGGTTAACCTCCGCCTGCACCGAGGGTAATGCCAGGGGTTTAGGCATACATTGTCTTTCCACTGTACATGCAAGTCAAGGGCTTCCCGTCTAAGTTCCATGGAAGAAGCAGCCATCACGTCCCACCAGATGGGAACCCAGCCTGAGGTGGCGTTACTGAGGTGCTTGCCTGCGGAATTTCAAGTTTCATATTGATTACAGGATATCTTCCCTTGATGCTGGGCAACACTTCAGGCTTATTGTACTTATCTCAATGAGGAGCAGAAATACGCTGTGCTGATAGTTATAAAACTCAAAATTAAGAGCTTAAAGTATGATTTAACATGCTGTTTCCCATACACAGTCAGCCCCCTGTGTCTGCAGGTTCTGCAAACTTGGTTCAACCAGCTGTGACAAAAAAGACTTCGTTCCCCTTGCTGTTCTCTAAACAGTATGGACTGGCAGCTATTTACAAAGCATTAACAGTGTTTACTTATAATACCTCAATCTAGAGATGATTTAAAGTTTATGGCAGTTGAATGCAAATACTATAGCATTTATATAAATTACCTGAGCATCCGCGGATCTGTGTGTGTGTGTAGAGTATGTCCTGGAACCAATCCCCTGTATCATTTAGATTGCAAAATTAAACTCTTCTTTATATTTCTCAGCATGGTTGGAGATATTTTAAAACCACAGGACAACAAAAAGAAATTTCTTTTTCTTTTCACAGTATTGGTCCCTAAAATATGTTTGTTGAATAAATGAGTTATTGAAAGAACATTAAGAAAAAATTCTTTGATTGAGCTTCTCCAAACC